TCATGTGCTGAACAGCTATTTAATATTTGATTTACTTTAACCTTTTCACGAAGTTCATGATTATAAAACAGTTATGGTAAGATTCGAACCATCGATTTACCACTTTGGAGACCATTGTCTTCACCACTTGACTATGAGAACATGTGCTGAGCGGCTATGAATATTTGATTTTCTTTAACGCTTTTGACAAAGGACATAATGAAAAAGGGTTATGGTAAGATTCGAACCATCGACTTACTACTTGGGAGACCATTGCCTTCAGCACTAGACTACAAGATCATGTGCTGAAGGGCTATGATTATTTAATATACTTTATCTTTTTCAAAAAGTTCATAAAGAAAAAACAAGTATGGTAAGATTCGAACCATCGATTTACCATTTGGGAGACCATTGTCTTCACCACTAAACTACGAGAACACGTGCTGAACTGCTATAATATATTTGATTTACTTTAACCTTTTCACGAAGTTCATGATGATAAAACGGTCATGGTAAGATTCGAACTATCGATTTACCACTTGGAAGACCATTGTCTTCACCGTACTAGACTATGAGATCATGTGCTGAGCGGCTATGAATATTTGATTTACTTTAACGCTTTTGACAAAGGACATAATGAAAAAGGGTTATGGTAAGGTTCGAACCATCGACTTACCACTTGGGAGACCATTTCCTTCACCACTAGACTACAAGATCATGTGCTGAAGGGCTATGATTATTTAATTTACTTTATCTTTTTCACAAAGTTCGTAATGAAAAAACGGTTATGGTAAGATTCGAACCATCGATTTACCACTTTGGAGACCATTGTATTCACCACTAGACTATGAGATCATGTGCTGAGCGCTATGAATATTTGATTTACTTTAACGGGCTTTTGACAAAGCACATAATGAAAAAGGGTTATGGTAAGATTCGAACCATCGACTTACCATTTGGGAGACCATTGCCTTCACCACTATTCTACAAGATCATGTGCTGAAGGGCTATGATTATTTAATTTACTTTATCTTTTTCACAAAGTTCATAATGAAAAAACGGTTATGGTAAGATTCGAACCATCGATTTACCATTTGTGAGACCATTGTCGTAACCACTAGACTACGAGAACACGTGCTGAACAGTTATTTAATATTTGATTTACTTTAACCTTTTCACGAAGTTCTTGATTATAAAACGGTCATTATAAGATTCAAACCATCGATTTACCACTTGGGAGACCATTGCCTTCACCACTAGACTATGAGATCAAGTGCTGAGTGGCTATGAATATTTGATTTACTTTAACGTTTTTGATTAAGGACATAATGAAAAAGGGTTATGGTAAGATTCGAACCATTGACTTACCACTTGGGAAATTATTGCCTTCACCACTTGACCACGAGATCATGTGCTGAACGGCTAAGATCATTTGATTTAATTTAAGATTTTTGACAAAGGACATAATGAAAAAGGGTTATGGTAAGATTCGAACCATCGACTTACCACTTCGAAGACCATTGCCTTCACCACTAGACTACAAAATCTGGTGCTGAAGTGCTATGATTATTTAATTTACTTTATCTTTTTTACGAAGTTCATAATGAAAAAACAGTTATGGTAAGATTCTAACCATCGATTTACCATTTGAGAGACCATTGTCTTCACCACTAGACAACGAGATCATGTGCTGAACAGCTATTTAATATTTGATTTACTTTAACCTTTTCACGAAGTTCATGATGATAAAACAGTAATGGTAAGATTCGAACCATCGATTTACCACTTTGGAGACCATTGTCTTCACCACTTGACTATGAGAACATGTGCTGAGTGGCTATGAATATTTGATTTACTTTAACGCTTTTGACAAAGGACATAATGAAAAAACGGTTATAGTAAGATTCGAACAAGATTCGAACGTTCCTGGACTCGAATCCTAAGTTTTAAAAATGGGAGAGCATTGCGTTCACCACTAGACCAGCAGAACCTCAGGAGTGTCACTGCACTGTTTTATTTTTACCTAATTTTTTATTTTAAACAACCTTTTTTCGAAGGATTTTACGTAAGTTTAAATACGTTTGCTTGGCTGATGATGCTTTCTATTTTGTCTAAAACGCACAAACGTGAATCTTATTCGTAACTTTAACCTAATTGATTCATTTATGCTGACGCTACCGGGTGTCCCAAAAAAAAGTACCTATTTTTAATTCAACATAACTTAAAAACGAACTAAAGAATTGCAATAAAATAGTCCATGTGTAGTTGAGTAATGTTTAACTTAAAGTTTGATATATTTGATATGAAGTTTGAGCAAGTAGTTTCCGAGATATTCGCGTTTAAAGACACAGTAACGTTTTGAAATGTGTCAAAAATCAGCAAATAATGGCTTGTTAAATGCAACAATCCGATATCTACAGGGGCAATTTCCCTGGTCGACTCATGAGTAAACGTGGCGATTGGCCATGGCCTCCACGCTCCCCTATCCTGACGGTGTGTGATTTCTTCCTCTGGGGCTATTTAAACAGCAGATTTGGGAAGTTCCTCATGACCAACAACCTCAAAACTTGGGAGATCTTCGCGAGGCGATTGTTAGGTCATGTCGCTATTTGGACGCCCACATGATTAAAGGTCTTTTGATAGCATGCTGAAACGGGCAAGAAAGTGCGTTGCTGCTGGTGGACATGAATTTGCAGATGAATTAGAGCAAGTAAAAAACGATTTTTAGAAAAACAACTAAAAAATATGTTACAAGATACCATGTTAGGAACCGGTATTGTTGAAACAAGTTTAATAGGCCATTTTTTCCTGATTTTGACAAGTTTCAAAACGTTGCTACGACTTTAAACGCAAATATCTCAGACACTACTCGTTCAAACTTCATATGTAATATATCAAACTTTAAGTTAGACATTACTCCACTTAATATAGATTGTTTGATTGCAATTCTTAGTTTCCTTACAAGTTATGTTGAATTAAAAAAAGGTACTTTTTGGGACACCCAGCATAATATCACAGGTATGGAGACCATTGAGAAAAGGTGCACCGTTATTTCACCATAAAGCTAGTTATATGCGGCCCAGGTGAAGCAAATGGTTACGGTGCGATTGTTTTGTATTTTTAATGAAGTCAAGTCTGATTTCACAGATCACAAATTAAAATTTGAGGAAAATGGTAATTCAGATTTATTAGAATGTTTTCAACATTTTCCACTTATTTCATAGCTCAAATTGTACTCCAAATCTCCATTATAACGCAAAAATATTAAATAACTCTACTTCTCTTAAGCTGCGTTTACACGGTACCATCCGCTCGTCACAACATCTTCGTTTCCATGCAGCGTACACCTAAGATCCTATAAGACACAGTCACTGTCGGTCACAGCACGGCACGATCCCCAGTCTGATTTATTTATGTCAATTTCTTTCTTATATTACATCCCGTCAATTACGTATCACAATCGCTTAATCATCATGTTCCTCTAGCAAATTGTAGTTACAAGATTATGTATTGCGATATGCATTATTTACGAAATCATTTTGATCGCGCGCCACACTTCTTCTCACATTAGTTTTGGTCCCGAAAACGGTAAAGTTGATACAGAAACTACGATCAAAATCTCCCGATTCCTGACCAAGACAAACAAACCAGGACAAGCAAACTTTCCCTGCTCAGTAGGCATAAAGTAAGGTTTAGATTGTCGTGATGGACCATGAACTCTCGACCTGTTTCTGATCTAATCTTATAATTTACGCCTAGTCTTCCTAAAATAGTGTGAGGTCCAAGCTGTTTGGGACAGAATTTCCACTCCTTTAGCCGCCTAAGCCATACATGCTCAAGCCATACAAAATCTAGTTTCCTGCTGACCAAGCAAGTCCGACGAAGCGAGGAGTCCTCGGAAGGATCGCGAAAGTTTATGATCCTCTCGGGTTGATTTCGCCCATTATTCTGCAAGGAAAGTTCCTCTACCACGAGTGTTGTGACGCTAAGGTCCCCTGGGATGCCAAACTGCCTCGTGAGTTAGAAGCTAGATGGACGGCGTGAGAGAAAAGCCTACAGAGAACGTGACCGCACCAATTAAGGAGTCTAGCTAAGTTCCAGTAGCCAATTGAAGATACAGGTCATTAGACCCTTACAAAAATAAACTATAGTTTTTAAAGGCGAAACTATAGTTTTAATAACTGTAGTATTTTGGAATAAAACTTCAGTGTCTGAAACTATAGTTGTTTTAGTGAAAACTATAGGTTAAAAACTATAGGTTTGTTCGAAACTATAGTTTTTACATGGAAGCAAAAGGTATTCTTTAAAAAAAAATAATTTTGACGTTTACCCAAATAATAACTGCTTCACAAAATAGCTTTAATTTCACGAAGCTAACACAGTTCAAGTCATGCTGCCAATAATCAAACGATATTTAACGAAAAAAGGAATTACGTTTACTTTACTTCGGTCTTTAGTACCAGGGGATTTTATTATTAGTATATAATAAATGCAGAATATAAAAAAAGAACTACTGTTTTGAAATTTAGGAATTTACTATTAATTTAAAGGGCTAAAAAACTTTCCTACAATGATACCCTTTCTTAGTATATGTTCAAAAAATTCCTGTGCCATAATACTGTTATTCTTGTTGCTTTTTGAACGCCTGTTCCTCATTGTTCAGTTAAACTTGATAGCTTTGACAATGTCCTCGTCAATAACAGGCCGCTGAAGTTCGGTGTATCTTACACTCTTGGCGTATTCTACACAAAACATAAAGAAGGGCTAAATTACTAAATCAGTAAATATGCCAACACTGCGTTTTTCCTTCAAATGCTGATTAGGTAAACAGAAATAGTCCGTCTTGCAATACAAAGATTACGTATACACTCAAAACCAAAAACTTACTTATTAGGGAAGCTGTGTAGTTTGTATCAAGCTTTGGCTTTGTTTGCCCATTCTTCCCTTTCTGCCCTTTGTAACTGTGTGTCGCCATGTACTCTCTTGTGAGTGTTGCTCCCATCAGGTTTGCGACAAATGATCCTACTTTCTTCGTCTTTATTCGTTGAAGCACATTCTTTGAAATCGACAAGCCTGGTCCCAGAACAACCTGTAGAAAATAAATCAATACAATAAATTAGTAAAAAAGGTGAAAAAAACAATGTAAAGTCATCCAATGAACAAAATGTTTAAACCACGGTACTAATAATTCCATTTTCAAGACACACTCTACCTAAACCACTTGCGTGTATTGAAATCAGAATGTAAAATTTAAAATTCTCCAATTTACAGTGCATTTGAAAGACCTACCTTATCTGCCATAACATCAGCCAATCCAGACTGTTCGTCACTTCCACAAATTTTTGAGGAAGCATATGTGTCCTTCTCTAACTCCTGGACCTAGTTGTCATCATCACAGCCTTGTATTTCCTTACTTTTGTCTTTCAACAAGTTGTCTTCGCTAATTGCAATTACGGTTGGTTCCTCTGTAGCAAATTCTGAAAAACCACTCATCGATGTGGGAGAAGATCTGGTTGATGAGCTTGACACACATGAGATAGGAGACGATCTTCCATGATCCATGGTTGTCAAAGGAGACAATCTTGCGGAAGGCTCGTATGCTCGTACGCTCTGTTGTGAACCAAATTTTGGTGCTTGGTTTGAAAAGCCTTCCAAGGATGCAACATACTTCTTCAGTTTTCTCAAAGAAACTTTTAAATCTATAAGAAAATTAAAATGCATTAGCCAAAGACTAGGAAACATGAAATCAGAATAACAGTAAAATCATTGCCTTTTTGTGAGTGGCTAATGAATGGTGAGAAAAAGGCAAAATAAATGGCTTGTCTAGCTTAATGCACCAGGATCATGGATTGTCCGCCGATCACCCGTCTTGTGGCACATTTTGATTAAAAGTTGGACAAATCTTTTTGAACAAGCTTACCATCACTACTTTCGATTTGTTCCCGAAGTCTTTCATTTTCACTTTTTAGGTGTTTGATTGTTGCCAGAAGCGTTCTATTTTCTCTTAAATGTTTGCAATCTTCATCACATACACTGTTGTCATCAAATAATTTAAGACTTTCCTAAATATTAAAATTATAAGCAATGAATACATATGTGTGCTGCCTGTGCACCAATGGACGACTTGCGCTTTAGACTAATTTCTTACATTGACGATAAAAAGGACATTTTCTGAAAGAGCTTACTAAAATTAGTAAAACTGCCAAGTTTGGCTGGAAGTTGTTGTAAAATACGGAAAATACAGCCATGCGAAGTTGACGATTTTTGTATACTTTTGTATTATGGCTGGAAGTTTGTAACTAATTTAGTTACACATTTCCGCACGTAATACAAAAGTATACAAAATATGCCAACTTCGCATGGCTATACTTTCCGTATTTTACAAAATTTTGCAGCCAAACTTTGCATCTGCACTAATTTAAGTAAGATCTTTCCAGCGGTGGTGATTATTTTCTCTAGTCACTTCTATCAAAAATTAGTCTAAAGCGCAAGTCGTCCATTGGCATCTTTCCTAATTATCAACAACTGCAAGAATGTAATGTGTTCTTACTAACTCATGTGTCTATCTACCATCACAGGTACAGGGGCGGATCTAGGATTTTTGTTGGACCTTAGTCAAAAAGTTTCAGTCAAGAAATTTGGGGGGGGGGGTGTTGCAGATGGAACGAGAAAATGACTGTTTCGCCCAATGTCAGGGCTCATCAGCATGCCTAGGAAACGCATGATACTACTAAGATATCTTTGGATTCCGACATGGACAGGCATTTTCACATAAGAGCACATGCAGTTTGTTTTTAGGCGCCAGCACCCGCCTTCAAATCTTTGCACTGGGGTAGAAATCGGTGAATTTAGTAGCAATGATGCTTTACATATTCATCCTTGATTAAATTTACATAGGTGCAACCACAAATACGCTAGTTCGATTGAATATTTGATGTTTCTTACATCTACTTCGGTCAAAGCAATCAAATTATCAAAAGATATGTTGGATTGAAGATCGGAATTCAGGTTACTTCTTTACAGCCAGCAGTACATATTGGAACTTTTCGCAGCAATGGCGCAAGAGTGTTATATTCGCAGTCATTCTCTATGATGCTAGCACTCTCGTTTCGCGACCAATTGCGCATTCCAAATTATTTTCAAATAACGATGGCGCAAGAGTGTTGTTTTTTCAGTCAATTTTCTTGCAAGCACTCTCTTTTCGCAGCCAATCGTCGAAGTTGGAACTTTTCGCAGCAATGGCGCAAGAGTGTTATATTCGCAGTCATTCTCTATGATGCCAGCACTCTCGTTTCGCGACCAATTGCGCATTCCAACTTCCATAATACAATCATACATGTACTGTGAAACCTTTAACCCATATATATTTTATTCAAATATGCAGCATAATAGATAATAATTAATAAATTTCATTTGATGGACAATTAAATCGGTTGATCAAAAGCTTGATAGCTATATACAAAAGAGTTTTAACGTTCAACCTTAATTAAGAGCTTTTGGTCGAAAAATATGAAATATACACTGTTATAGGATAATTAGGAAAATTCAACCTGGTGTTCCTTCTGCAAATTTGTCAATTACTTTTTCAACATCTGGAATTATCTCCTGATGAATTTGCATTAGGGCTAGACCATTCAACCGTTCCTCAACCATAGTACTACGCTGGTAGTTCTTCAGTGATCTCAGTGCCGAAATAGTTCTTTCACACTCACATGAAGTGATGGGCAGTGTTCCTAAAATACGAAGAACAACTTTAATATTTTCAAAACCATCAAAGCTAACAGCTTTTAAAGTTGTTGGAATATTGTCAGGAAGAAGTCCTTTGTAGGTCTCCCAATAAGACGTCCATAATGACAGTTCAGCATCTAGAGCTAAGGGAAAAGGTAGATCATCAATGTAAAAATCGGCAACAACTTTGAATCCATCACGCCAGTCTTTCCCCTTCTCTTTCAAGACATCATTTTCGTTGGATAACACTTAATCCTTTATAAACGTTAACACTATCCGTGTCGAATCTGTGTTGTAAAGCAGAATAATATGGTCAACGAAAGGGATACTTATGATACGCTTATAATACTCCGAGATTGTCTTATACGGAGGATTGGACCTGCTTGTTTGTCCTACTGTCCGTGGCTTGCTCTCTTTATTCCAACCTTTCGTGCTAAATCAACTGCCTCTGCATACCAGATTTCATGGAAAGTGTCAATGGAATTTCTAAAACTAATAAAATCATTTTTCATAGTGTTAATTAAGTGAATTCCATCCATAATATCAATACTCTTTCCCTGTAGCAATAAAGTAACAGAAAGAAGTCGATCCAGAATATTGGGAAATTACCAAAGTTACAATAAATTCAAACTTTCCTATAAGATCAAAAAAATTAGATGCATCAGCAACAAGGTTGGTCTGTAATTCCCCTCTACATTGTCTCTCATCTCCTTTAATGTGTCATAAAAAGGGACGAAAAGTTCAATAAATGTATCCAAACCGGCGATTCTTTCAACCCATCTGGTCCGACAAACATCTACCAGCTTTGTCTTCCGACTTTCTCTCTCAGGATAATTACGGACATTTTCTTCAAAAGGCATGTTGCGTGTCTGGGAAATATTAATGAAATTTGAGACATCTTTAACATGTTTCATCATGGTATTGACCTCAACAACAGTCAAAGAATCACATACAGCTAAATTAAGTCGATGGCTATAACAATGAGTGTAAAGAGCTTTCTCATTAATGCGCAAAATATTAGCTGACAAACCATTTATGTGCCCTGAGACAGCACCTGCACCATCATAGCCTTGTCCTCGACAATCATCAATGGATAAAGTCATGTCATTAAGTGCTTCTAGGATCAGCTTGGCAAGTTGTTCACCACTTAATCCCCATCTACATTCAAGGAAAGCAATGAATTCTTCTCGAATATTCATGTTAATATCTACAAAACGTAAAACAAGAGACATTTGCTCCATAGAAGAATCTGCAGCCTCATCTGCTAATGGAATAGAATTACTGGCCTTAATATCTTGAATAATCTGCTCACTTATTACCTGTCCAACACACTTGATAATTTTATTTTGGCTAGTTTTTGAGATATAAGTTTTATTTTTACCACAGTTCTTCAAATGATCCTCTAAAACTCTGTCCCCTGCACGAACTCTAAATTAAGAGACTCAATAAAATTACCAACTCTCTCTGTAGAGTAACTGCCAACGTCAGGATGGTATTTAGAGTCATCACGGTGACCACGTAATGGTAAACCAAGGCGGCCACAAAAAATTACTGAATCCACAATTGGGGCAAGTTTCTTTCTGTTATCCTCAATCTCTTTCTTGAGGTTGGTATCTAAAATGAGCTCAATAGGCTGCGCCTTCCCTGACATCTGGGAAAGTAAAGATGTTAGTATGGGAAATGTACATGCATGCAGGCCCATTTCTCCTCCTGTACCATGTCCAGCATGATTTTTCAGAGTGTATGATGTACCACTCCAACGACGAAGAGGCTCAGAAAATAAATTTTTAATTTTTAAAGCTTTACCAGGAAAACGATCCCCAAACAGAACACATGACAAGCAGAATGCACCATCCTTCAAAGGGGAATAACAAAGCCAGGGATATAAGTCTAGCCATTCATACCTGAAGCTTCTGCCATTGGTCTTTGGAAAGGAATACTTCTTATCAGGTTTAAAGACATTTCTGATGAGATTGCAGATTTCAGATGAGTTCATACCTCCCACCATGTCCCGGTACATTGCAACATCAAAATTGGTACCATGTGATTCAACCTTTGGTGCATTAGGTGTATATCAGCTTTGAGATATTGGTTTTGTGTTGAAGTGCTGGGTTTATTGTTATTTAATTGCTCTTTTGGTTTTGAAGCAGATTTCTCTGTCACCTTAAAAAACTAGAAATGTTAGATGGGGATTAGAGACCTTTTCTGAAAAATAAGAGTCGGTCTAGGTTTCTTGGCAGTGACTTGTGGACAAGCAGCTGTCGACTTTCTTTTCAACTGCTGTTGATGAAAGATAAGAGGAACAAAATGATTTGGCTGGATGGTTTTTCCAGCAGTTACAGTACCTTCATAACAAAACAAAATATGAAGATCATCCAAACCTTTCTTTGGAGTTAAGCGTGGTTGAATCATGCGATTAAATAGCAATTTACTTCTTTGTTGCCCACAATCAGGATAATAGGTGAAAGTATTCCTATTCAAAACTGAAGCAAGACCCATTATACAGAGAAAGGATGACCATTTCTTCTCACTGCAATTAAGTATAGCTTCCTGTCTAACCAAGTCATCTTTCATACAACCAGTATCTAAACATTCCTTAGAAACAGACAATGGTAAAAGGTTATTGATACTTTGGCTGAAGTATTGAGCATGTTCTTCCACAGCAGAAGAAAAACAAGGGTGCTGAGAATAAAAATCAGCATTAAGGTAGAGCTCTATGGAGGTCAAAATTCTCAATAGCTCCATTAGGCTATTGTTACCCACTTCTACCAAGGACACAGAGCTATACAAGCAGTTCCCAGTAGTGTCAGATCTAAAACATGAATGAAACTTGGTTTATTACACCTACCTACTAATATACACTTACTCAGTCACTTAGGCAAAGATGAATAAATATTAACCTAGTAATTGATAAACTTGATAGCAAAACATCATATTCCACTTTCATGAACCATTAAGTGTAAATAATTGGCAATATAATAATAGACTGAATTATTATATAATAAACTAGTGTTCATCTTTTAAAATGTAATCAGGAAATATGGCTACTTGTATGCTTACTGCTATATGTTTGAATAATTATTTTTGAATTTTAAACAAAGTTCAGTGCTCAAAGCTTTGCCTTAATACATCGGGTTGTACATTTCAAAGAAGTATGTATATATACACGAAGTTCACATAAGACATTATTACACTCCTCGATTCCTCTATTCGTATGCATAGACCGCAGTTATATGCAAATTTATTAAGCGAAATCCTATGTAAATTTCAACGTGCAACGTGTAAATTTCAACTTTATAGCTTGTGCAGCTTAACAGTTCTAACACAAATACACAATCACCAATGAACAAATACACAAAATCTTTGTAAAATATTGTTATGTTTACCTTAAGGCCGTACAAAATTTCTTTGTTGCCTTCCGAACAGACGTCGGGATGTACGATTCCGCAGCAAAATTTCTCGTGAGGCAAAAGCTGGTGTTGTTCAGTTCGTTTAGTAGTTGCTCAGTTGAACGCTTTGCTGCGGCGTCTATTCGCTTCTTCAGATCGGCCTCGATAGTTTAAGATATTGCCGATCGTCTTTCTCCAAAGCACATCTCACGGCGTTAAAGATCTGACATGATTAATAAATAGTTTTGATAATAATTTTTTCTTTCGAGTTAAAGAATCTTTCGAGTTTTCGTTGCTGTCAAAGCTACGATGACGTCGATCAGAAAGATCAATTGCAAGGAACCTTGCTGTGCACGCTCTCAGGTCAAGGTCAGATCACACTGATCGATCAGAAAAATACAACCAATGAGAATTCAGATAGATTTGAATTAGCCAATTGAGTAGCCCGATTCGAGCCCCTGATCGCTTCACCGATCAGAACTCCCCACAGATCGCGCAAAAAGAGAGACAGCCAATCAGATGACTGGGATTTGATGACGAAGCGAGCAAAATTCATGCATAAGACCGCTTTTCTGCGCGCTCGTGCTCGAAGGCCTGGTCGCTGAACTCTTTTAACAACTGGATTGCCAAACATCACCTGGTGACATCACCCCAATACACTGCACGTGTTTTGCAACTGGACTGCTATTTCATTCAAGCACTTTTCTTGGCATTTTTACCTTAGTCGCGTGATCGCTCTGATCACCCCTAGATCCGCCCCTGCTCAGGTAGTATAAGGAAGCTTTTATATTACTGCTATTTCAATGCTAAAAGCTTAAATAATGTTAACATTTAGCTTTCACATCGTCTTATATACAAGGTGATTTTACTCTTTCTGACAGAGGCTTCCTTTTGACCTGTAACTATACAAACCTTCCTGTATCTTTCCTTTATCATGTTAGCCAGATTGGTTGATCGCTTTGATTGCTCAGCATTTTTAGATGCTGCTTTCTGCCTCTTCGTTGCAGCTGGTTCTTGCTGAAGAAAAACAGGATCAGAAATAAATGTGGGGAATATAAACTATGCACATAACTTGCTCATTACTATTATTTTTGTATATGTGCTCAAAAAACACCTTGTTAGAGAAAATTTGGAATGGAAAAATTATCTCTGTAACTTTAAGACTTTTACCTGTCTTTCTGTGTCACTGTCGCTATCATTTATAACACGGAAACCTTTGCCTGTTTTAACCGGAGAATCATCTTCTCTCATGTATTTGAGTAACCAGTCTTTGTCATCTATTGTTTATTTAAAATATAACAAATATGAACAAAGATTATGGCAGGGATGGACTTGGTGCTGATTTCTGAATATGTCGTATCTAAAAGTGGGAAGTAATATATGCTGTTATATAGACAAATATTAAATTACTTGAGACTTCACACACTCTGCTCTGAATTATTTGGGATCATTTAGATGATTAGGACTTCAATCACCATGATATGAATTATACTTCAAACATGATTATATTTCAAAACAGCCTGATCTGAATCATTTGGGATCATTTATATGATTAGGACTTGAATATATTAACTATAAAACCCATCTTACCCTAAATAAATTATATTTATTTCAAGACATAAAACGCCAAAGGCGAACAATAATGACTCAAGGAATATATAAACTTAATTTCAAACCTGATATCTTTACAATCTCGGCAGGGAATTTTCTTTTGGTTGCTTTCTTGGATTTTGTATCTTTCCAAAGAACCAACATTTTTGTCCCGTTCTCGATTTCATTTTGTTTATGTTCCTGAGTAAAAACAATATCGGAATATGGAATGACATCCCAAGCATTCTCTTCGAAGAAATTAACCAAAGCGTAAGCCATTAAGTCGTTTAATTGCCGAGGTCTTTAAAACACTGTTGTCGGTAAATTCGAAATGGCCGCCAAGAGAGTTGGCATGTCATACTCAGGTCACATGTGGGCAAATTAAAATGCGAGCATGCCCATATTAGGGAATAATCGGATATTCACGTCTCGTCTCGACGCAATAGTTTCCCAAAATATCCCAAAATATCCCAACTAATCCCAACATATTTCTTTTGTGATTTTCCTCCGATCTGCCGTTTTCCTTGAACTAATTACTGAAACTGTTAAAAGATAAAAGATTCTGAGAGTCTTGAAGATGGTCAAAGGTTAAACACGCTTATGTGTTGAGTACAAAGGTATGTAAATGTTAATGTATGCTAAATATTGGTAATCGAAATCTATATATATATATATATATATATATATATATATATATATATATATATATATATATATATATATATATATATATATATATATATGTATCGCAAATCACTTTTTCTTGACTACAGATTATGCAAATAAAAAGTGCAGCTATAGTTTCTCTAGAATAACTATAGTTTTATTAGTAACCATTTGTTGTAAACTATAGGTCTTTAAAAAAACTATAGTTCAAATTTAGTTTCAATTATAACTATAGTTTCCAGCGGCTACTATTTGTTGAAAACTATAGTTTTTAAAACAACTATAGTTAAAGTATAGTTTGGAACAAAACTATAGTTTCGAAAAACTGTAGTTTCTGTATTTGGAAACTATAGTGTCACGAATAACTATAGTGTTTTTGTCTGAAACTATAGTTGTTCAGAAGAAAAAGTTTTAAGGCAAAAACTATAGTTTTTTGTCGAAACTATAGTTAGTTTTTGTAAGGGGATCAAGATCATTAGATCTGGTCGCACAAGAAAGACAGTATAGAATTTAGTGCTTTAGATTTTAACATATATTTCGAACAGTTGCGTTAAAATTAGAATTCAATCAAGTTAACATTTTTGGGACGGTGAACACTGAACGAGGCACAACTTTTATATTCTAATACTTTTTATATTATAATAGGGGGGGGGTGTTGGATTTTATGCGGAAATAGAATGATTATTATAATGCATGCAAACGTCATGGGTATAAATTAATACTGCATGGGGATCAATAGTAAGTAAGAAAATTGGATAATTAAGGACAGATTGGAAGTGAGGGTTAAACACACAAATTCCCAACACAGCCTCCTACTGCCATGAATGACCGGTCTTGTTAAAAACAAATATTATAGGTAAATAAAAATATCTACAATCCCTCGCGAACATCGTCGTCTTATATATTATAATTTCTTATCTTCGCTTTTACCTGGGAGAGTGTCCATTTCCCAGCTGCCTTGACAGACAGCGCAGCCTTGGAACACTCTGGCTTGAGATGCACGTGACTAGGCTGACCTTTGACCGTGAAACTGTCCGTAGTTGAGAAACTTTCCCGAAGCTGAGACTTGCTGACTTCGTCCCCGCGATGGGTTAATCCAGAACTGTCCTCGTCTAGTAGTTTCCAGACATCTTGTAACGACGCGCGGTCGTCTGATGAGAACGAAGGTTGCCATCGCGAGACGATTTCGTCACGAACAGTAGACGATTCCGGTAGGCCTGCTTTTTCTGCGAGTTCCGTGTTTGAAGAGTGTTTTTGAAGTTTTTGGGCCGACGCGGAATTTTTTTTGCGAGGAGATAGCGAATGCTGATCATTATTCCTCGCTAGTGTTCTCTGTGCATACTGCATGCAGTTCTTTGCTTGTTAGTTCATATTGCAACTGTTCCAAACCCCGTAGTTGGGATCGGGATGTTTGCGCCACATTCTGCGGATCTTTGGACGATTGACGTGCCTCAATTGAAGGCGATTTTTTCCCTCCTAATATATAACGATAGAATAACATTCTAAAATCAAAACGGTGGCAGCGGTACACTAATCGATTTTACCACGAGATTACTTATTTCAGCATCTCTCATTATACCAAAGCCGCCACGCTGCGGAGAAACAAGAAATTTTCGTGTTCTCAATAATTGTAGTTTTTCTCAACTTCTATTATATAGGTTTAAACTTTTGTTCTTAACAATTTATCAAAAATGGTTTAAAGACGCTCTGCAAAACAATTTTATTTCATATTTCAATCAAAGGACGCATTAAACGAATGTTTAGTCCACCCGTTTTCGGTACATTTTCAAGTACAAGTTTAACTTATATCTTATCAATTAACTTGCATGTTTTCTTTCAACAGTTCCAATTGAAGTTTTTCGCCATATGCTTATAACCGACCGGCGTTTGCCCAGACCTTATTCCGCGGTGTTCTGGAGCCCGGTCACGTGTCACTACCCTACATGCGGTAGTGACGTAATCATCGCGGATCTCTTTGCACATGCAGTTAGTCTTTTGCGAACAACAGAAGCTACGCATCATGATTATAGGAAAAATGTATTCAATTCATTCTTACAGTAATTTATTTCGACTAACGTATATATATTAATGCCATCTTAATAGATATTCCAAAATATCCCTTCAAATACCTTTATATTTCAACAATTCAGCTCTCAGCTTATTTCCCATTTTAATCAACTGTTTGCGTTCTTTTGTTACTCCATTTTTCCGTTGAGCAGCTTGACGTAGTTTGGTGTGTAATCCTTTAGATGACGATACTACTCCCTTCATACCAGGGACTTCTGAAAAAAAAGGAAAACGTTTAAAATTTAAATCCTGACAAAATCATTCAGAATTTTATGAAGTGAATTTAGGGTTTGTTATGTGTTGATGAGAAATGTTGATGAAAGGTTTTCCAGCCGCAATCAATTTACTGTTTTGGAAAAGGTCGTAACTTACAAATTGTGAACGGGTTTGAATGAAATATAACTCCATAGACAGGCGTCATAGTTATATCACGCTATTTTAGGTGGATCAGAACAGCAAGAGATATGCATTCTATATATGGTCTAACAACTGACAGTGGTTGGGTTACATCACAATCTATACGTTTCAATTAATTCAGTAGATTTAGAATGTTCTACGGCAGTCGTGATTGTTAAGATTCTAAACACAAATAAAGATAGTATTTCAAAAGCGTCAGACAGTACACTCACCTTTCTCTCGAAGGTCTTGTATAAACTGACTTTCTGGATTGTACGTATTCACACTCTAAAAAAAGGTGTGTTCAAATAACACACCTTTTTTGTCCAGAATATAACACAGGTTAAGGTGTGTTTTCTTACACACGCAGGTGTGTCCCAAAACACACCTTAAGGTGTGTTTCTTGCTTGTCCAGAATTTGACACACTATAAGGTGTGTTTTGCAAAAGGTGTGCTTTAGTACACACTAAGGTGTGTTTTGAAACACACTGTTGTGTGTTTTCCTACACAACTTTGGTGTGTTTTCCTACACAACTTTGGTGTGTTCCAAGACACATACTGCTAGGTGGTGCAAGGTGTGTTTTGGAACACACTAAGGTGTGCTACCCAACACACAAGATCAAATTGCCTAGGGCAATTATCTAAATAGAATGAATAGTCAGAACAGTTTGTCCATAAACAGTGAAATATGTATTAAAAATAGAAAACATTATCATACAAGAAAACACTTACATATATTCACAACAAATATTTAAAAGTCATATGGAAAATTTGCCTTAATAATAATTTGCCTTAAATATATGGCATGCATATAATATAAGCATGAATGTCCAGGCATGTATAAATTGTTCTAATCAGAATTGTCCTTGGTGCACCTTTGCCATAAATGAGGAAAATTTTGTTCCTCTGTAGTTGCCATCATTTGTTGGCAAAAGAATGTCTTGTAGGAAAAGCAAGCATCCTTCCATACTTTCAGGGTAGGAGACGTGATATGCATAGTAACAACAAAGCAGGTCGATCAAACCTTGGAGTATACCTTCACTCTCAATAAATGACTGGTCTTCACCTGCCACAAAAACTTGGTTGACCTCCTCAGGAGACCCAATCACAACCAAGCGAAACTCGACATTCTTGTCTTTGAACAAGGTTTCTGGTCTCATGGTGGATGCAGGCTGTAAAAACAAAATTAAAACAGTTAATTACAATTCCAGCATTGAGGGTAAACCTAAAGATTAAGATCATTGATTTGCCACTGAGCTATCTACTAGAGTGTGCAAGGTGCAATTGACAAATACATACATCTTTGAATTTTAGAACACTTGTTGTTGTTCCTTTGTTCCTTTTTGTCTTTCTCTCAATTTGCTCCACAGCCTCCACAACCTGTTCACTTCTCATTTCACATTCCTTATCCTTAATTTGTATGACAGCTTTCAATGCAGTCTCCAACTTCTTTTCAGCCTCTTTTTCCCAATTTTTCTGCCCAATGATTCTGCTAACTTCTTTTCTTACCTAATTAAGATAATCAAAGACATTTTGCAGGTGTTTGAAACAAGTTGCCATTGCTTCAATAGGGTTACCCATTGTTTTAATATTATACCCTAAAAACTACATGTGTATATATGACTGCACAAGACATCATGTGAAGATACTTACAACATTTGGATGACCAAGATATGGACATTCCTCCAAGACCTCTGTAGAAGATGTAGCTTGATTTTCGATAAGTTTCCTCCGCTCATTAAATGTGTCGACAAAGAGTTTTGCAAATGTTTTAGGAGCCATTGCACCAGGTTTTGCTTTTTTCAAAAGCTCCATATTTCTTTTTTGAGCTTGCTCATCATCCTCTGCAGTCAGTTTTATTTTCTTTGAGGCACTTTCATTTGCATAACCATGGGGTTGTCCATGCATCGCTTTGTTAACTGTCCGCCGCCGAAGGTTTCTGAAGAATTGCGACAATTGTTTCTGGATTGATACCTATATATGTAGACAAAATATGATATTTGGGATTAGGATCATTGCCATGACAAGTATATTTTAAGTACATATACAGAATATTCCCTCTTGTGACACTTACCCAATAGCTTGCTTGATTGGAATCTCTCAACTCAGGGAATTTCTCGCACACTAAAATGGCAATCCTCTTGTAGTCACCTTGCTTTGGGTGGCTGGACAAACCATAATAAAAGGTCCCTACATCTGCAATCAGCTGTGTTCGCTCAGGGGCAACAGAGCCATTTTTTATTGCCATCTGCACTCGCACAGAGAAACTCTCAGGAAATGGGAGAGTGTTTGGTAGGGCTGTGGCATCTGAACTATTAGTAATAGGTTTGGGACTCTTGAGTGGTTTCTTCATTTGAACACCTGCTTTCACACTTTCAACACTGCTTTCACATGCCATGGTTGGCAAAGGTGGTTTCACTGGCAAAGGTGGTTCCACTGGCAAAGGTGGTTCAGTTGGCATTGGTGGTTCTAGCTCTGATGTGTGTGGTTCATCATCATGTGGCATCACAATTTGCTGAGGCATTTTTTCCTATTATTGACAAATAGTAAATACTTTCATGTAAAATATTGAGAAGTAGTCATTATTAGTGATGGGAATACAATTGATTATTTCAATTGCCCAATGTGACAGTGCCTTCTCTCGGCTTATAATTTTCAATTAGTACTGTTATATAAAAGCCTGTTAGGCAAACTAAAGGAATTAACGACAAATTAATATTCTTGTTAAATCAAAGTTTATATTTATATCCTGTTTAAACAAAGTAAACTTACGTTTTCTGTTGTCGCAGATAAAGTAAAGGCCAATTTTTGTTTTAGTTGAATTCGATGGCCAGATTTAGGTAAGACCGCTTTGAATTCGTCGATGTCTTGCATCAAAAAGTTCAATGTACCCCCATCAATAGCATTTTCTGAAACATTATAATCATAAACTGTTAGTAGATCGTATTCATTAAACTGTATAATAAAAAGAAAGCTTAACGCACACATAAAAACTTAAACGCTTTAGCATTTTGGCAATGGTTCAACCACATGAGGCATACCTTTCAGTTGATCGCAAATTTCTCTTGAGATGCCTTTTGATAACAAGTGAGCAATAAGGTCTTCAGTGAACATTGCTACTAAACACACAGCCATACTTGTGATGAAATTATATTTAAAAAACAGAGTAAATGTTGTGAGTAATCTTCTTGGAACGTCGAACGGGCAAGATATCAGTCAAATTTTTACAAGCAGGTCTAAATTTCCCGCATCACACCATAGGGAATTCCTATTGGCAGACTTACGGTCACGTGTTACTTTAAATACCATATATGGTATTCCCAGTGGTGACATTACCGTGAGAGAATAGAATGGCTCCCAGGCCTTTTGCAAATGCTCCAATTTTTCGGCTAATATCGATTGAAAACATACTGGGAAATAAACTAAGTATTAAAAGTCAGTAAGGCACAAGGCGAAATAATGTGTTTTTAGTATATACAAATGGCCGAATCAACTGAATTTCGCTGCGATTACTGTAATTTTGTATGTTGCAGCGGACAAAGTAAGCTTTTTTTTATCACTTGGTTAAAATACACTCAAACGAGCCGAATTTCAAGATATTTTGTAACAGCTGTCCACGGTCGTTTACAAAGATAAACAGTCTCCAAAAACATTATTACAGACAGCATAAGGCTTTAACAGTGGAAGAAGACTTAAATGATGGGGAAAATGAGAACCATTTTCAGGAGATGTTTGACGAGGGAGAAGCACGAAGTCTAATGCAACGCCATGCTGCCAAATTCCTTTTATGTTCCAAAACAAGAGGTATGCTCACCCAGAGTGCCGTGGACTTGGTCAAAGATTCAGCGAAAAATCTACTAACTGAGTATTTGGACATAGTCAAAAAATCGCTTGTCGAAAAGATAAACAGTAATCCTGGTCAAGAATTGCAATTTGACCAAGATGTGGAAAAGTTATTTTCAGCAGAGAGTGTCTTCGACGGAGTTGATTCAGAATACCAACAAAGATCATATTTTAAGCGTCATTTCAATTTGGTGGTAAATTACCAACCTACCAAACCTGAACCAGCTGCCAGCTTTGTCAGCTTGCTTTATATTTTTTTAACTGATTTGCAGGAACCAATAGAAGTTGAGATGGGAAAACAGTGGAGAAGTGATTTTCGACAAGGGAGAAAAATACTTAAACGTGTCACAGTTTTTGGTTATCAAGTTCCATTATTAAAGACTTTGGAGGTACAAATATATTTTATATGAAAGACTAGCAAATAAATGTCACTATTCTGGTGCTAAATGCCATTACTTTGGCTTTTCAAGATTCAAATCACTGGATGCATCCATTTGTTGCAAATATTTTTTTCAAACATTTTTTTGATCATATATTTTAGGCACTTCTTCAAAACCCAGATGTTTTAAAGGAAGTTGAAAATCCACATTTTTCATGTGATGGTGTTCTTCGAGATGTAATGGATGGGGATTTTTTCAAGAGTCATCCAGTATTCTCCCTCCACAGTGATGCCCTGCAGCTGTTGGGCTATTATGATGATCTAGAAATAGCCAATCCTTTAGGTTCAAAAGCAAAGATTCATAAAATTGGTGTGTGTCTTTATATTATGTCTATGAATCTATGAACAGCTTATTTCATAAGCATGTTAGCTGCCCAATCACATATAAAATTTGTTTTTAGGTGTCTTTTACTTTGTGCTGGGCAATATAAGGCCAATGTTTAGATCAAGCATCCGCAGTATACAACTTATAGCTATTGCTAAAACAAAAGACATCAAGTCATTTGGGATCGATAATCTTTTGATGCCATTCATTGAGGATGTCAATTGTTTGGCGAAGGTATTTTTACTTTATGCATTACAGTATTGTATGTATATAAGAAAAAAAAAAGACAAAATTCCTCTAGTATGCAAATTTGTCCAACATTATAGCTTCCTATATTTTAGGCTAATGGTCACTGTTTTACCATAAATGGTGTTGCCCGTGTGTTTCGAGGTGATCTGTTATTGTGGACTGGAGATACACTTGGTAGCAACTATGTCAGTGGTTTCAAGGAAGGTGTTGGAGGAGCATTGCGAATTTGTAGGCATTGTATGGGAACAAGACTGGAGACCAACAATAAGGTAAATATGCTATAATTTGAAGAAATAGCTTTTTTCCCTTACTGTAATTTGGGAGATATTTTGCTGAGCAATAAGGGCATTTTTACAATTTACACAATGTGCATTTGGATTACCTTTCTGTTTTAGTTTTTATCTGAAGACTTTTCAGAAAGAGATTTGGATAATCACAGACAAATATGTGCATGTATTGAAGATGAAGATAATGCATTAAACATCCGTGAACAACTTTCCACAACCTATGGGGTAAACAGATTAAGTGTGTTGGATAAGGTGCAACATTTTGATGTTTGCATTTGCATTCCTGAAGATATAATGCATATATTTTTGGATGGCTTGGTACCCTATGAAACAAAGTTGATGCTGAAGTATCTGATTGATGAAAGCAGATGTATCACACTCAAAGAGTTAAATCGGAGGATTGAAAACTTTGATTATGGATACATGAACAAAAAGAATAAGCCAACTGCAACTACAGGGAAACAATCAATGGTGTCACTGAAGCTAAGCTTAAACAATCAGGTACATATACTTTTAAAACCCTTTCTTTCACTGCAGTCATTGGGAAAGTATTAACTAATTTATATGTCTTGCTTTATGCAGCCTAATTGTCTTGAACTACCAAATGTAGACTATGTAATGCTATTTTAACCTGAGTCTTTTTGTTGCAGCATCTCAAATGTGGTGTTTATTCAGGTTCTTGCCAATCATGATTGGTGATAAAGTGGATGAGCAACTGGAAAACTGGCATTGTTTGCTGAAACTTTGGAATATTGTTCAAATTTGTACTTCTCCAGGAATAACAAAGGCTGATGCTGCCTATTTGAAAGTTATGATTAATGATCATCACAAAATGTTCAAAAATCTCTACCCTAATGCATCCATAATTCCAAAAATGCATTATCTTATACATATACCTGATGAAATTGTTAGGTAAAAAATTATTGATGTAAAAGTTACTTCCAAATTATTTTTGAGTTAGAGAACATCATCCTATTAAATTATTGATGATTATAATTAAATGTTTGCGTTGTAGGTTTGGGCCACCTAGAAATATCTGGACCATGAGATTTGAGGCTAAACACAGTTTCCTGAAAAGTTCAATTACCAAGAACTTTAAAAATGTCCCCAAATCACTTGCATTTTCCCATCAAAGGTATATATTTTTTAAAATCATTGTGCACAATTAGATTGACTTGTATTCCACCCCTCTAAAGTAGCTGTGTTTTATCACTCTAGGCTTAATTTTGAATAAATGTGTAGATTTGTGTATTTCAATTATACATTTTTTACAGAATTGTGTATTTATCATACTAATCATGGTGTAATTGTTTTTTATTTAGGAACATGTGCTGGAACCTTCTGAGTTCTCCCAAGCAGCCCTTGACTAATTACCTGTATAGTGGTGATGTTGTTGGATTAGGTAAATAATGCATATATAGTTATAAAAATTTGTAATTTTACATATGTATAAATATGCATATACAGCTATTATTCCAATTTAAATCTATTTTTTCATGTGTTTCCTAATGTCTGTTTAAGGCGATCACAATGTTGATTTGCACAGCCATCCATATTTTGGCATGATAGCTCAAGCTGCTAGTGTTGATCAACTGGCACAGCCATGTAAAGGAAGCAGGTAATATTTATCAGTTTAATATTGCCAAGTTGTTTTTTAATGTAATTATGAATAAAAAATTATATCATTTATATGACATAATAAAGGACTAACTACTACAATATTCAATCTAGCTACTATTTATCAACTGAACTATCTCTTAATATCACTGTGATTTATCAGGCAAAAACTGAATTTGGGATGAGATGAATCATACTATCTTATGTTTATCAAATGAACTATTGCATTGTAATCTAATTTTTTAGCATGTTAGGCATGTGGAGATTCATGGCATAATTTACAAGCCAGGATGTGCTCTGCGACTGCAGGAAATGGATGAGATTGGTGAGAGAGATTATCCGGTTTATGGTGAGTGGAAGAAATCGTTGTTTGGGAAGATAGAAAATTTTTTGTTGTTCGAGTTTTGGAGACATCTGCTTTCCACAGACATTTTATGTACTACCAAGTTCATAAAACTAATGAAAGGCTTGTTGTACGTAGTAATTCAAAACTTACCCTGGCATGGGGTTTTGCATATTATTAAATCTAATGGAAAATTTTATATAGTTGAAAAAGATAGTTCAAATGTAGAAGACTTTGTGATTAATTGTGAATAAATATTGCCACTGTATGGTAACCAAAAAGGTAAAGCTGTTTCACTCAAGAAGGTGTGTTTCCTAATGGTGGTGCTATAGATAGCCAGATAGGTATGTCTTTGTCAAGGTGTGACATGAAAGTGAGCATTCTACATAATGTGTTCTGGAAAAAGTTGTGTTTTTCACGAACGTTTGTTGAACACACTTTTTCTCCAGAAAATGGTGTGTTAACTTGTATGGTGTGTCATTGTCAAGTTGTGTCAATGCAAGGTGTGCTCTCTGCATGGTGTGTTCTGAAAAAGGTGTGTTTGTTGAACACACCTTTTTCTCTAGAAAATGGTGTGCTCACTTCTATGGTGTGTCTCTGTCAAGGTGTGTCAAAGCAAGGTGTGCTCTCTGCATGGTGTGTTCTAAAGGTGTGTTTGCTGAACACACCTTTTCTTCCAGAAAAAGGTGTGTTAACATAAGGTGTGTCAGTTGACACGGGCGGGTGTGTTTCTGTACACACCAAGATGTGTTCTGTGACCCAGTAAGGTGTGTTTATCAACCCACCTATGACTCTTTTTTCAAAAAAGTGTGTTTCACAACACACCTTTATGTGTTTGAAAACACACCTTGGTGTGTTTGAAAACACATCTTTTTTTAGAGTGCAAAGGTTTTCCGTGACTGGCAAGATCCAATTTTAATGCTGACAACTGCAGAAAATCATCTCCTGCCTGTCACACAATTCTTGACTAGATGTTGCTAATATTTCTACCTCGGGTAGTTTATCTGCGACAAACATTAACCCATACTTTCATAAACGATCTCTGCAGAAACTCAAATTTCTGTCTATAAACACCGAATACAAAAATTTCGGACATTACGCTCTCAAAACAGATAAATATCAAACGATTATCAGTAATTCTTCCGTATCCACACTCTCGCCTGTAGGCTGTGTTACACTCACACTCATTGAGTGTGACATACAAATTTTGTCATCACCGATAAAGAGAAAGTTATTTCTTAATCGATACAAAGATTTAACGAAAAACACTGAAAATTAAGCTCTTATTCGAGTGGAAATACCGCCATGAAATGTTATGACTCCCACTCAACAAGTTCGAGTGCGCTTTTAAAATACAATAGTTCCTCGCTAACTCGAACTCCCTAAGGGAAAGGAAAATTGTTCGAGTTACCGGGGGTTCGAGTTTACCGGAGTTAGTGTAATATTACATTTATTATATATAATTAATACAATAAGTTATAAAATCCAATCGAATCATTCTTCAAGAGATATCATGCCTACCAATATGAATGGTGACCGAAACTGGACGAAATTTTAAAATAAAAAAGATCGAGTGTGTGTTAATAAAACTCAATGTGTTAACATATTCAATTTACGCTTTGGCTTTGGTTAGTATATTCAATTTACGCTTGCATTTAAAAACAATTTATATTCACAGAACGCCGAAAAAAGGAGAGTTAATAAGATCATAATTATTTGTCCGGGCTAGCATGCAAATTAGCAAACATATTTTAATGCAAGCGGATATTAGAAGCCAATTTGACAAAAATACTAGCTAATCACAATTTTTTCCATTTATGAATGCGTGATGGTAATCCAGATTTCAATTTTTTAAACGGTGTTTAAGAAAACCGGAGATTATTTTAATGTCTGTAATGTTTAACACAAGTGAAAACCCGTTGTTCGAGACTGAATGAAATTTACCTTGTGCGATAGTTTTTATACATGGGTGCCGTAAAAATGTGTCTCGTTCTTTTGTTGCTAAACAAAGTGGCTCAGATGGCAGATCATTAGATTAAGTTAAAGTGAGCAAATTATCAGTACAATTTATCTACGATGATATTTGCATACATTCAACAACCAAAACATCTAAAGTAGCAAGAAGCTCTTTATAGAATGATGTAGTCAATTTATTAGCACGGGACAGCTAAAATTGGTGCCTGCGTCCAATTTGATGCACAGCAATTTAAAGCACAGCGCATCCATTTTGACCGTGCCAATAGTTTGCAGCTAAAATTTACTGGTTCACTTACTGATCAAAACCAATCTCGTGATATATTCTTTCGGCATTGCGTTAGTTGATATGAAAATACTTTTTGTAAGCCAATCAACCACATAATATTCTTTTGAGAGAGCTGTCCTCGCAGCCAGTTCCCAACGACGTGAAATTCTATGACGCCACGCTTCTCTTCACGACGAGCTGCCTCGTCTCGTCCAATGTGTCACCCAGGGTAAAAACCGTGCTGTAAGTACATAGTTTAAACGAAATTGACTTTTTGTTTTGAAATTGACATCTCCGAGACCTTTGTGTAGACCGTAAATATACAGTTGGTATTCAGCCAATAATGAAAACTGCTTAAAGTTTGTCAAATATTTTCACTAAATTCTTGGCAAGCTTCCTTCAGTAAATTAACCTGCACACGCTGGTTTTACTTCTATTTTCAATTTACAACAATTTCATGAAACAACTCTCGTACAACAATCTAAACGATCTCAAAACGCTCTAAGACAGTCTGGATTTATATAATAATACAGCTCCACACATTTACTTATAGTCCCGGCCCGGTTGTATCAAGGCCATTTATAGCTTAAACGGCGGATAAGTCAAAATTAAATAATACTCTTACATCTCTCTTGAATGGGTCAACTATCCCGTCCAAAAGGAAAATCGGAATTGAAAAGGCAAGTAAATCTTTGGAACTGTTGTAGAATATGATAAACTGACAAATTTGCAAATATAGTAAATTTAAATCCAGTGGCAATATGGCGTTTACGGCCATGATATCCTAGTTCCATAAATCTTATTAAAATGGAGCTTTCTTTCAACGTAGATGTAAAGGGGATTGAAGATTTATAAATGGCTATTCACAGCCAAACTTCGTTCTACATAAAACACGTGATGTTCAGCTGTTGTTTGCTTATACACTTGATCGTATTTCTTCGCTTCACTATCCCGTCCAACAGGAAAATCAGAATTTAAAAGGCAAGTAAATCTTTGAAATTGTTGTAGAATAATATAAACTGACAAATTCGCAAATATAGTAAATCTAAATCCAGTGGCAATATGGCGTTTTACTGCCATGATATCCTAGTTCGATAAATCTATTAAAATGGAGCTTTCTTTCAACCTAGGTGTAAACGGGATTGAAGATTTATAAATGGCTATTCAAGCCAAACTTCGTTCTACATAAAACACATGATTTCAGCTGTTGTTTGCTCTATACACTTCGAATATTCTCATAAATGTATGACAGTATGATCGTATTTCTTCGCTTTACTATCGCGTCGAAAAAGGAAAATGGGAATTTAAAAGCAAGTAAATCTTTGGAACTGTTGTAGAATATGATAAACTGACAAATTCGCAAATATAGTAAATTTAAACCCAGTGGCAATATGGCGTTTTACGGCCATGATATCCTAATCCGATAAATCATATTAAAATGGAGCTTTCTTTCAACCTAGGTGTAAAGAGATTGAAGATTTATAACTGGCTATTCACAGCCAAACTTCGTTCTACATAAAACACGTGATGTTCAGCTGTTGTTTGCTGTATACACTTCGAATATTCTCATCAAATGTTCTTCGCTTCACTATCCCGTCCAACAGGAAAATCAGAATTTAAAAGGCAAGTAAATCTTTGAAATTGTTGTTGAATATTATAAACAAATGACAAATTCGCACATATCCTAGTTCGATAAATCTCATTAAAATGGAGCTTTCTTACCAGGTATTATGTGTATATGAAAGAAACAACCTGTATTTTTTTCTGTATATTTTTGTGTTATAGATATCACAAAATACATACTGTACTATACAGTATAGACCCTCTGTGATTTATATACAATCATATTTTCAATTGTGTGAAAATGATGTTCTTGTAATCTCCATGTAGAGCAAAAGCCGCGCGAATCATTTGTTTTATGTTTATCAACTCGAACTGGAATACGCGACTGGAACAAGATGGCTTCCAGCAATGGGAAATAATTTATGTTAAAAATGTAGTGTAAATGTATTTGTGTTCGCTTAATATCATGAAAGGGTAAGTAATTTTTGAAATTGTATGCATAAATTTTTGTCTTAAGCCTTAATTCCACGGGCTAAATTTTCAAGCAAAATGCGAAATATTTCTCCTGCTTCTTTTGAATTGTGAGCAATGATGCATAATTAATTGATTCAAGCGGTCGAAATTCAAAAGAAACAGGCAAAATATTTCGCATTTCGCCGAGAACAGGCGCCCGTGAAGTTAGGCCC